TTTACTAATAACATTTAACTTATCGTCTCGTGACATCAAAAATTCAAAAAAAAAAAAAATTATCGATCAGTTTCATTTTTCAATTTCACAATGTTATCTTCTAAATTAATGAATTTTAATAAAATTAATTTATTGCCTTTGCGTAATATAATTTTTTATGAAACGCAGCCAAAATATTCACTCTATTCCATATTTCTTCGACAACTGAGTAGTAATATAAATAAAAAGTAAACACTTTTGCCAACTTCAATATTCTTATGTTCAGCATTAGCTTATTATTGAAAAAAAAAAATTCTCTTTTATGCTACAGATTAAAACTCCATGAAAAAATTCTACAATCAGAAAAAGATATAAAGAAGTTGGAACGGAAAATTTCAGCATTTGATAAGCAAGTTATAAATTTAGAAGTATGAATAATTAATTAAATTATTTTATTCAGTAATTTCATTTTCTTACTTAAACTTGATTTATTAGTCAGATAAACAACAGTCATTATCAGAAGATTTTCTTTCACAAATTCATAAAGCAATTTCTGCACCACCTGAAATTCCTCGATTTCGACATAATCATGATCTTAAATTACCAATCGCAGATGAGAAAAGGCTTGATTCCCCCCAGGAACTATCTTTACCTACTGTTAGTGATTTACAAGCATCAAAACGTGAACAAATACGTCTATTAACCCAAATGAAAAAAGAAAATTTAAAGTCTATAGAACAGTTCAATAATTGGTTATATGCTTGTGTAAGTTAAATACAAGGGTATATTATTTTTAAATCTTGTAGATTTTTCTAAATAATAGCTGTTTTTACAGGCATTAACGGAACGAGTTGATGAAGCATCAGATATACTTTTTTTGATGGAGGTTAGAACAAAACAAAATGCGGTATTTCTTTAATTCGCGCATTTATATTCTCAACAATTTTATCTCAGAAAGCAGGTGTTATTCCTAACGCCGTTACATATGATCATTTAATAAATCTCTATGCTTCTGTGGGAGAATTGCAAAAAGCAATAGGAGCGTTTGATTTAATTGAAGCTGGTAAATATTCTCCTAATTATATCTTAATTGTAATTTATATCACGTTATCATTATATTAATATTATCTCATTATGTTATATTTAGCTGGACTTAAGCCAACGGTCCATAGTTTTACAAATTTGATTAAAGCATATAATAAACATAATCGAGTTGAGGATGCATTTAACGTATACTTGGATATGAAAATTTATGGGTTAATACCGACTCAAGTTAGTAACTATTATCAGAATATACATAGCCTTTTGAATATTCATTAAACTTGTCTCTTCTTTAACATAGCCTATATTTACAACCCTTATTAAAGGATGCATTGATAATGGAGATATAGTACGTGCATGGATAACATTTGATCATATGCGATTGGAAGTATGTCAACCCGATGAGGTTACATTTAGTTTGATGATTCATGCATGTGCAAAAGTGAGTATAGATTATAACCCTTATTATAAAAAATATATATATAATATTATTGATGCGGTTATTTAATATACTAGGGTGGAAATACCGAAAGAGCCTTTGATTTGTATCAAGAAATGAAAGAAAAAGGATTATGCCCAACTGATGTTACATTTAATTCTTTGATTCACGCTTGTGCAATGAGAAAAGATATCCTTTAATATATTATCATTTAAGAATTTATATTATATATATTCTTAATTAAAATTCTTACATTATTATAAAGAAGCGTTTAAGTTATTACAAGAAATGAGAGAATATGGATATCAACCTGATATCACTACATGTAATTCATTAATGTTTGCATGTTCAAAGAACGGAGATCTACAAATGGCCAGGAGTTTATTAATAACAATGATGCAAAGGTAACATTTATGTTATCTTTCAAATGTTTTCATTACATTTAAATGATGTTAAAATAATTATTTATTTATTTGATTTATTTATTAGGGTAAAAACTGATCCATTATTAACTCCAGATGAGTTAACATTTACAAATTTATTCTGGACATATTCTACTTATAAAGAACCCATGAATTATATAAATAGGAGTCAAAATGGAAGGTTGTCGGAAAGTAAACAATTAAAAGTAGCAGATTTGTCGTCTGAAACTGATAATAAGATAGGATTATCTCATGAGAATCACAAAGTTTTATTAAGAAATGAAGATACAGAGACAGAAAATAATCAAGAATTACGATCAGAACTAACAATATCAGAGGAGACACTATCAGAAGACACAAATTCAAGAAACCACGACTTGTTAATAGTAGGGTCAGATACTTATCCGTTTTTTAACAATGTGCCCGTTACTGTTTCACAAACTGTTAAAGAAGCAGAGATGATTTTCAATCATATAATCACGTCACAAACTAACGCGAAAATAACATCATCCTTTCCTATAAATTTATCACCAAAATTAGTTATTTCATATTTAAACATTTTAGTTAAAAAGTCTAAATATAATAAAGTATTCGACTTCTATAAAAATTTTATACCAAAATATAATATCCAATTAAATGGGTGGATCTTTTTAAACGGATTAACAGTATGTTATAAACATAAAAGAGTTGAAGAATCTTGGAGTATATGGCGAGATTGGGAAAATTGGCGAAAGGAACAAAGTAGAGAGATTAAAAAAATTTATGATGATGAGCATGATAGGAAGAATTCATTTAAAAAAATTGGAATGACTGAAAAAATGGAATACGAAATTTATAAATTAATGATTAAGATATTAGCTAGGTAAGTGATTTCCAAATTGGGCTTTTAATTGTTCATTTTATTGAAAGTATTTATTTATTTACAGGTGTAATGAAATACATAGTGCTATTAGATTGTTACAAAATTTATCAAATTTACAAAAACCTGATATACAAGATTTTACATTATTATTACAAAAATGCGTGGAAAATGATGAAATGGCATATAGAAAAGTATTTAAATTATGTTATAATTCAGGAAATGACAATGTATTACAATATAGAAATTCATTAGCGAAAAAATGGAAAGGACGAGGAATTAAATTGCCGCCAAAGAATAAATATGATGAGAAAGAAAAAGGATTGAATCACAATAAATGGAGGAGTGGGAATTATGGAAAGAAAAGAGAATCTGTCCAAAATAAATAAATAAATATTATTTTCCACCAAATGATCAGAAAGATTTTTTAAATACTTGGTTTCATGACGATTATTATCAGGCATTATTAATAATTGATTAACTTTCGTTTACCTTATATAAATGATGTTTATTTAATAAATGATACTTATATAATGGAAAGAAATACATATATATATATAATTAATATATATTCTAAAATAATTCTAATAATTATTAGTCTAATAAATATTCTACATAATAATAAAAATCAAATAATTAGGTACATATTTAGAATATTTAGAATATTTAGAATATTTAATCTGATTTAATATTCAATAATCTCGCTATTAAAAATGGTAGTATGATCGTCGTTATATTCATCAAAAAAGATATTATTATTATTAACTTTAAGTAAAACCTTATAAACTTCAACATCTTCAGAATTAAATTTTTCAAAATCTACAATTTGTTTTTCATAAATTTGTTGTTTACATACTCCCTTGATCCAATTCAAATCATTACCAAACCAAGGAAGTTTTTCTTGCCCAGCACAACCAACTTTATTAACATTATTTTTAACTCTACTACATATACCGGTATCATCTTCATTATTGATACCTAACGAAAAAATAAAGCTATTGGTTACGGTATCATATTTTTGATTTTTGTTCCAAACATCAGCATTATAACCACCAATAATTTTATTGACACCAGAAGGTTTTATAATAACTATAGTTGGACCCTGATAATTACACTTTTGGTAAAATTTATCGGCATCTTTTAATCCATCACGACTACCACGATAAAGTAATCTAAAAACATAAGGAACTTGTTCGGGCTGATAACCTTGTCTTTTTCTATCAATCCATGAAGAAATCAAAGTAAAATGTTTCAATTGAATTAAAATAGATTCTTCATCAGCATACTTTAATCTTGGTAATAAAATATTTGAACGATTTGGTTTTCTACCTGCGACATAAAATTCTCTTAATTCATTTTTTAATTCCTTTGATAGAATTTTTTTAAAAGGTCTAATTTTATCATGATAATCAGCTCCAGAGATTAAAAAGAATCTAACATGTGATAAACAATTCGCCAAAGTTGATCTTAACATATCAAAATCTTCAGTAGACCAATCTTTAATGTTTTCCTTGTCATTACTATTTAAAGAACATTGTACTTTACCCCATTTAATTATTTGATTCCAAATTTCAATTTCTTTTAAATCTAGATTATCACTTTTTAATAATCTAATTAAAATACTTTCTTCTAAATTTCCTATATCTTTTGATCTCAAAAATGTTGATGAATCTTTTTGAATAATTTCTTCACATGTTGTCTTCAATTTATGAAATGCTTCATGTTGTGATGATATTCTATGAATTTTTACCAAATTTCTTCGAAACCAGAACGTTTCTTTTTTAAGAATATATTCAACGAGATAATCAATCAACTCGATCAATGCAAGTTCATCTGCTGCTATTAATATATCGAGGTAATATGAAAGCATATTATCAGACATAACGATAGTTCCAGTATACATAAATCTAATTAATAATAAAAAAGAAAAAAATAAGATTTATTAATATTATAAAAAGAAAAGAAAAGAAAAAAGAAAAGAAAGAAAGAAAAAAAAGAGTTTACTTTAATATAACACGAAATACATCCGGTGTAATATTTGGTTTGTTCATTTTGATAATACCATCGTTAGTTTTGGCCCAATTAGTAGATAAAGCCGCACGAAAATACGTAGATCTAGCTCTTAAGATGACAGAATGTGCCTTAAAGGTTTCGATGTTTGGTTCCTGACCAACTTCGAGTAATACATTATAATCATCTGCTTCATGAAGTAATTGCCGGATATCTCGTAAGAATGAATTTTCCAATGATTTTTCCAACGATTTTTCCAACAATTTTTCCAACTTATTCGCCATTTATTATTAAAAAATACGTAATAAATGCTAAGTAAGAGGGAAAAGTAGAACGTTTTTAACGGAAAAAATTTTAGAGTTTTATAAATGGAAGTTTATTTTATACCCCCATTGTCAGCCAGCACGCCTTAATATCAACATATTAATTGGTAAAGATTTACAAAATTACTCATATGACTTTTATAAAAGGTAAAATGATTACAAATACTAATCCTTTATAAGTAAATCAGCAAAAACGTTTACGGATTTTACATTCTTTTTTCAGATGAAAATTATGAAATTTGGGAAATAATTAAATATAATTCGCCAAATAATTAAATAAATTAATCAATTATAGAAAGAATCGCCGATTTAACAATCACCTGCAAGGTTGCTGAATCTGTATAATTATGATTTGAAAACCTTAAAATTTATTTATGAAACAAAACTTAAATCATAATTGCTTTATTTATTTTTTATTGTGTACAATTTTTTTCGACATTGTTGTAAAGTGATCTATTTTTTTGTCCTCCTTCACTATCTGTTGATCTCCATAAAAAGATATTGTTTAAGTACTGAATTCATTAGAATGACATTATTTTAGCAATTTTTGTCCGATCTCCATAAAAAGATATTGTTTAAGTACTGAATTCTTTGAACGATTCATTATTTTAGCAATTTTTGTCCAATCCCTACCATATTTATCGATTAACTTTTGTAGCTCATCATAATTTTCATATAAATTATATTTTTTCCGATCCCGGTACGTCAAACGCTTTTCACGCTTTTCACATTTTTCATGCGTAACCTTTTCATAACGTTTTGAGACAGAATCATGAGACCGATTCATTAATTTAGATATTTTCTTCCAATGCATTCCATGTTCTTTAATTAAATCAAATAATAATTTGTCCTCTTCTTTGGACCATGATTCATTCTTAAACTGTTTCCATTTATTTGAAATTGCTCTTAATGACCGATTTCCATGAAAATATTTTTTGAATATAAGCTTCCAATCACATCCATGTACTTCAACGGCATTTTTAAGTGTTTTTAATTCATCTTCGGTCCAACGATTACCAATAATTTTGGAATCTTTCAAATTTGAAACAACATCTTCAGTTTTATCTAACTCATTTTTTAAATACTTCCATTTGGTTAATAATGCATTTGATGTCCGATTATTATTAAAATATTTTTCTGATATATAATTCCAATCTTTTCCATGTTTTTTAACGGCATTTTTAAGTGTTTTTAATTCATCTTCGGTCCAACGATTACCAATAATTTTGGAATTTTTCAAATTTAACTCATTTTTTAAATACTTCCATTTGGTTAATAATGCATTTGATGTCCGATTATTATTAAAATATTTTTCTGATATATAATTCCAATCTTTTCCATGTTTTTTTACGGCTTTTTTAAGTGTTTGTAATTCATTTATGGTCCAGAAACGATTCCATTTAGTTAATATTGCACTTGGTGTCCGATTTTCAAAAAAATAATTCTTTGATATATAATTCCAATCTTTTCCATGTTTATTAACGGCATTTCTAAGTGTTATAAATTCATCTTCGGTCCAAAGTTTACTTCTATTTCCTTTTAACAGTTCTTTTTTTGGGACAATTGTTGATTCTGATACTCTTGATGATGTTGACTTCAATCTTATCAACAAAAGTGTACTTGGAATCTTTATTAATCGAAAATGGTTTAAGTTTGGTATTATCGTTTGAAAACTGTCATTATATACATTATATTTAAAGTGTATCATTCCTTTAAACATGTTGAATGAAAATGAAAATACGTGTAATAATATTAAAGAGTTTTCTTTTTATAATAATTAACAAAATAGCAACATGTAAAGATTAAAAGGAGAAAGAAAAAAAAGAAGTAAAAAAATTTTTTTATCATCATTTTACTAACATCACGTGATTAGCTCCACACAAAATTGGGAAATGTCCATGAGGGAATCTGGGAATCTTAATAGTTGACCATCAATACATCAACCGGGGAAAAAACAAGTTTGCGAACAAAATGAACAAAAATCTCTAAAAAAGGTCAAGATTCATTGAATTTATCTTAATTTTATCTTAATTTTAGTTAATGAATTGTTGGATATTTAGTGCAAATAATTTTTTAAAGATCAAACCAAGCCAATTTGAATATTTTATATATTTTATTGAAAATGGTCACATAAATATAAAACCGGTTTAAAAAATCAATAAATTTTTTCTTTTGAATCAATGATTGTTATCATTCCAATCTTTTAAAAATTCATTTATTTATCCGAAATTGGTGCGAATAAATACTTACGGTAGATATAAAAAATAAAATAAAATTAAAGTAGTTGAAAAGTAGGCGTTTTTGAGCCAAAATTGTTCATACTTGGCTGACTACACGCATGCGTGACTATATACTTGACTACATATGCGCAGTGTTGTACATGGGACATAACCCGGTGATTTTTTGTGGACACGAACGTCCAAAAATCCCATGTCCCACGTCCATAGTCCGTGAACTCCGCGGACATAGACAAGCTGTTAACCACTTTAAAAATCTTGTGGCCAGAATTAACAAGAAGTATGGGTGGCATTAAGGCGGATAAAGTGTCCGGGCATAAAAGAATACCGGACAGTCCGCACGTTTATATGTCTTTTTCATGGAACAAGCTAACCGAGATTAAAAAATATGATATCAAATGTACGTTGAAGAGAAGAAAATAAAGACAATAAATTAGTGTAAAGTTAAAGTTAATAAGCTATTCAGAGACAATAAAAAAGCTTATTTTCTATTAACCAAAAATGACTGGAGAGAATTGCGAAGCAATATCATAATGATATCATCGTTAAAAAAAATAATAAAATGCGTATGAAATTTTCATACGCAGCCATACGCAGTCATACACGCATGGTAAACTGCTAGAATTATGAAAAATTCAAAAAATGAGTTTGACGGTCCGGACAGATATTATCATGCGTTGCGTATGACTGCGTATGAAAATTTCATACGCAGTCGAAAAATGAATTAGGTGATCCGTTATTTTCGCAAATAGCTGTAACCTGTGAAACTGAACAAAGCTGCTAAGACGAAAATAGACAAGTACGAAACTCCATTAATCTCGGGCAATTTTTTCGATTTTACCTATACCATGTGGCATTTATGCCAAATTAATGTATTTACGGAACAACCATAAACAGAATAGACTCGTTAATATAAATACTCTGTTTACTTCTCGATGAAATGACTGGAAAAATAGAGTGAGGACTGGAACATTAGAAAAAAAATGTTAGTGAAACTGAGCGAAGCTCACATGCGAAAGTTTCATACTAACACATTAATTGACGAAATAAGTAATAAAAATATTATTAATACGCATTAAAAAGTTATATGGCGCAGCTTATACATATACATTGTCTAACTGCAGTACTCAATGTAATATTTAAAGAGAACGAATCTTGTTTTTTGTATCAGTGTTAGGAAGGCCCCCGTCTAGCCTCAAAACTGACCATCTTTTCCCGAATAGTTCTGATAACCATGCAGAGCACTTTTTGGTATTCATTCGTATTGTCCGGAAGACTTGGAGAAGGAATTTACAATATCCCGAAATTATTCTTAGATTCTCTTTCCGCTCAGTGTTTTTACTTGCGTCATCAAAAAAATGATGTGAACTTTGTTGTTTCATATCGGGATAACATCACAAAACCGAGATAGTAGATTGTTATTGAAGAGAAAAGAAAAAAATATAGGAAAAAGCATTAAAATGTATTATTATTTCAGTAGATTGTTATAATTTTCTTGGAAGTAACATATTACGTTAAAATTAAAATTATATAAACTAATTCATCGATATTTTTTTATTAATTCCTCTATTTCCATTTTCGCTTCAGGATATACATCTGAAAGAAAGTATATATAAAAATTAACCAAAATAACATAATCAATACACAATGTTGCCATAATAATTTTTTTGCATACAGTACATACAATGAGATTTCCTAATATATTCGCGTACAACTCCATTCTCTACGAACCATGCTAACTTATCTCCAAAAGGTGCATATTTTTGCGCTTCTTCAGGAGAATCCCCAAGTGATCATAAAAATTGACTCTCATCATCCAACTGAAAACCCGGCCATAGCAACCTAAAAATATCATTCCATAAGTTGTCTCTCCAACAATAATAATATGATCAAAGCCATATTCAGCAACACAAGTTATATAGTATGTTAATTCCTTTGGATCAGTATCAAGAACCTTAAAACCAATAAATTTCGCAATGCAAGATTTGTCTTTAAAAATTTTTCAACTAATATTGATATGGGAGTATCATTACAGCTCCGCCGTTGTGAAGCATCTTTATCATTACATACTTGCACTTGCGACATCTATCAATCCTGACTGATTCTTCCTGGGCAAGGTCCGGCAGGCTTCTCATTATATAATATATTTTTTCCTCTAACGTCCTTTTTCGAAGCCCGTCTCGAAGGCCGATGGACGTAAGTCCAAAGAAGACTCCATGCATTCCAAATTGGAATAATTTTAATTGGTTGAAACTTGTATAATTCTACCTTCTTCCCCGTAGGACCGAAATGGGTCATTATTCCATCCTTTCTACATAAAATGATCGTTGAATCTCGTTCAATTATTTTTTTTCTGTACTCTCTCTCCTTACCTGAAGAATTCTGTAATCAACTTTATCTGCCATTTTTCTCGACGTGTAAAAATGGAAAAGCAGCCGATAAGGTTGTATGTGCTAGCTCTATGTAGGCGAAGTTTTTTTATCAAAATTGAACTTATATGTTTTTGCCTTATATATATACAGTATATATATATAGGTATCACGTGAAAAGTTCAATTCTGACATTTAATACTTCTATATTACATCATATCTGTGTATAGGCGCAGTGACGCGTAGCACGACGCAAAAAAAACAAATCAATAGGAAATCGAACCTAGAAGATGCTTGATTAACGAACTCCTTAATTTTTGTATCCTTTAGGAATAACGATTTCTGCTTTTTCATCATACCATACCTCAAGAAGGCAAATTCCATTATCATCTTTTTTGCCGATCACGATTAACAATGTCTTCGAGTTTTTTGACATCCTTATAGCTAGTGCTATGAAGTGCACCTCCAATGCAATTCGATATTTTTGGAAGAAGGAATCAAGCTCTAATCCATTCAAAAATAGAGGACGATAATCGATCATAGGTTCTTCATTTCCTTAGCTATTTGGATGCATATAGTCTGGAATTTGCGATTTTTTAATTCTTTTTTAAGCTCATCGATATTATGCCTTAATTTTGCTACCTCAGCTTTAAAAGCTCTCCGACTTTAGGCTTGAGTTCAGCATTTTCAGCAGTAATAACCGCTCTACTTTTCTCCAACTCCTCGATACGACACCAAAACTGCCTGAGCTTCGCAATCTCGTTTTTTAAGATCTAAATTCTTAACCACGAGGTTACCACTTTTAAGCCTTAAGCTCGCCAACCTTTTCTTTATGCAGAGTAACACGTTGCCTCCATACTTCAAGCTCGGCATTCTTAGGCTCAAGCTCGGCGTTACGCTGTTTAATTACTTTGAGTTCGGGCTTTCTCAGCCTCAAGCTCAATGATACGCTGTCTTAATATTCAAGTTCGGAAGGAATTGCTTTGTTAACTGACATTATGGATATTATTAACATGTGTAAAAATGTTTAATTAGGAAAAATATTCATGCCACAAAAATGAAAAGACTATTATACACGAGTGAAGTGCAAAAATAAATAAAGTAAATAAATACATATCGGGACGTAGTATTAGTACATGCAAGAAAAATAAATACAAAAGATACGGTGACAGTCGATACGTGACGAATTTTCTATGCTAAGACCTATCTAAAGTCGACTGTTCCGTATTCATTTTGTCCTGCGATATTTTTTTCTGGTCGGAGCTCAAACTTGTCTTTGTACAGATTTACCCTAGCGACGAGCAAGCATATTGTGATTTCGATGCTTCATTTCCACTAATTGAAATTGACTTGAGACAGACTATAAGAATTGCCCGGGAAGAATCGTCTTTCAGATCTTCCTTTAAAGGAGAATTATGGGAAGTTATTCAAAAGCTTGGAATTTTAGAAAAAATTGAAAATAGCATTCAATTTATCAATTTAAATGAACATTATTTCATTTGATGAAAATTTTAGATACAGTAATCAATCAATGTTGAGCGGTTAGGTTCCCATTAAACTATATATTGTGAGTTTTTGTAATTGACACAATGTCAGGAGCCTTAGATAATAAATTTTTTTTTAGAAATTTTTAGAAATACTGTATCTTTATATATATATATATTTTTACAATATTTTATCTTTAAATATAACAAATATAGAATTATTTTTTAGTATTTTTTGTTAAATATTAAAAGAATAAAAGTATTTCATTTTCGTTAAATTATAAATTTCTAATAAATCGCATTATCAATCATCACATTTCGGGTCAAGGAAGGACAAAAAAAAAGTGGATGGTTAAGTTGATTTCTATTGTGTACAGTTTAATAAAAAAGCGGTTACAACTTTAAAAAGCTTTTAAATTCCGTAACGTTGTTGCTTATAATTAGCAAGCAAAAATTTTGAAGTCGAAATATACAGACTGGTAAGAAAAAAAATGAAAATAGGAACAGTGCCGCTTAGTTTATAAAGATCTTTGACTATTTTAAGTCCTTCAAAAGAATTAATTTCTGCAAATTATTATGAAAATGGAAGGGAAGTGGGAAGCGTAATTTCCCCAATCCCTGTTGAATTAAAGAGAAAAAATTGAAAGGTAAGTAAAAATGTTTATTAATACGGTCAATTTCCAGATATAAAAATAGATTTTGTTCCTTTGTTTTTATTTTTTTTCTTTAAACTCCGAACCCTTATCACAAACAGAGATCATCTCTTCATAATAAGTTCCTTAAAAAACCAACCTCTATGCACTCACAGTAAGATTACATTGTACTTTTGTGATACCACATAGAACTTCTGCCTTGTTTATTCTAATGAGATTCTAATATGCGTTCTTAAGACCAAAAAGGAAAGTGTGTTATAATACATAATTTTAATACCTGTTTTTATTGCACCATTTATTTAATTTTAATTTGTTTAAACCTTTCGATAAAAACCGTCATTTTATTCTTTCTAAAATTGGATTTCCTCTTTTCAGTTCACTTTGTCATACAGTCATAGGTTTCACTTAATTAAAACTTTTCACTGTACCACCACCTTTAAAAGTGATGTTCGTGTCAATGATTGATATTAACAATCTGCTCGAATTAAGTTTATCTAAACTACAGATGATGTAACGATAGTTATGTAACGAGACGGAGGATTTCATAATTTTAAATAGTGTAACAAGATACGGATTTCATAATTTTTAAATAATGATTGTTAAGCTACAATACAATAATAACGCAATGAAGCACGGTTCTTCAAGCTTGGCGATTTGAATATACTTAAAATTAGTAAGTTAGAAAATAATAATATAAAAATGAATATAAAAGAACTCACTTCCCAGTTCCCATCAGAGTCTTAATTCATAATAACAGATATACAGCATTAAATTTCGCCCACCAAATTAATTTATAAACTCTATTAACAAATGGATAATAATTTCAATTTTATTAATGATGGATTTAATAATGATTTACGACCTACAACAAGTGATTCTCAAGCAGAAAATCCAAATGTTAATTTCAATGCTTCTTGTAATTACAACAATAATAATAGTTATCCCACGATGAATGGTGATGTTTCCTCAGTATCTTATAGCAATACACCTGGTAACTTTCCTATGTCTTCGCAATCTTATCCTATCGCTTCATCAGATCCTCCACTTTTCTTACCGCAATATATTGCCCAGAATGCACCGCAGTTCGTTCAAAATAATTCTTCGCCATCGAGTATGACCGATTCTTCACAAATTAACCATACTAAAATCTTTACATTTGAAATTCCCGGGATCAAAATTATCGTTATACCTACTTTCCCACTAATGATTAATTCCTCTCAAACGAATAATTCTGAAATCTTTACATTAGACATTCCTGGGTCCAAAGTCATCATTGTCACACTTTCTTTCCAATGATTGATTCCTTTAAATGAACCTTTCTGAAATCCTTATACAAGTATTTAACATTCTCAGGATCTAACTTATTCATTTGATATGTATTTACTTGTAACTCATAAACATATTTATTGTACGTGTTATTATTATCATAGTTAATTATTATTATTTTTTTTTTATTTCATTCTTTTATTATCTCCTATTTGTAAGACGGTATTTAAATTTTCAAATAAAGGATTTGTAAAATCACATTTAATAATTATGAAAAAGATACCCATCAAAGTGTCAAATAACTATTACACGGTTATTATGTTAGTTACATTATGATTGAACCACTTACCCTTACTCTGATTGTTTTTATGTAAAGGAACCAGCATCAAAAAAGTTTCGAGGTAAATAGTTAAAATACCGATTCCAACTAAGGCAATGTATAATGGTTATAGTAAAAATTTATTAAAAAGTGGTAAATATAAAAAGGAGAGTTTGTTGTTAATTAATTTTATCGCTATAAAAAAAGAAGAAAATGAAAATGGACAAAAAAAAATGCCAAAAAAGAACTTTTGTATTCTTAAATGCAAGTCCATTATTATTATTAAAATAACTTAATAGAAAGTGAAAAATGAATAAAGGCTATTTATTACTGCCGGAACATAGGCTATAATTACGATAAGGGTCTATACCAATGAGCAATGGGCGTGATATACATAATATGTATTAATAATATTAATATCGTTGCGACATTGACCTTCTTTCATTTATCATTATATGAGTTTATTTCAAAATCAAAATAAAATAAGTAAAAAATGAAAAATAATAAAGTATCAAAAATCTGCATAATTATGTATTTTTCTTTAAAGTAATAGAAATAGTTTGTAAGATTAAATTTACAATTGGGGACTGGTCTAGCAAAACAAGGGGTTTGGTCTTAAAAAAAACTTTTTAAGTTTATATGACAATTATATGTCAATTCCACTAAAAATTACAAATATAATAAAATTTCAAAAAAAAATTTTTTGGACCTAACCCCTTGTTTTGCTGGACCAGTCCCCACATATTTTTAAATCTAATTATTAATATTACTTCTTGCTGTTTCTAGAGTTTTAATAATACAGTATCATACTTTACTTTCATGTTCTATTCATTAAATTAAAAAATAAACCCTTATGAACATGAATTATAGTAGTTACATTATAATTTTGTAATAATTGTTCAAATAACATATTGATTGAAGGTAGTAATTGAATTTCATTGGTCACTAATTGAAAAATATATTACATATTGATTATTAGATACATTTGGGCTTTTTTTTTTGCTGGAAATATAGGATTTTTCTCCTGCTATAAATCCAGGTTTATCAATGAAATGACATTCAATGATTCAAACTCCTTGGCCGAACAGCAAAAATTATCGATTGATATCATTTTGTTAACCCTGTTAAAAAAGTCAATCCGTTTTTTATATTCCATCTTTTTCCCGTAAAAGGCTCATATTTCCGGAATTAATAACCTTATATCGCGGAATTTATCTAATTATTTACATTTTCCGTGAATGGATCCGTGAAAGGCTCATTTTTAGGGAGTTTTTACAGAAATACGGATAAAAATTTTTTATAGGGTAATGGTTGACTCTTCCAAATAAGTAAATTTTCAATATGTGTAAATCTGATGATTTAAGCGATTACGTTATGTGTTTTTCTTAAAAGATCGACATATTACCAAAACATGTATTTGAATGGTCGCAAGTGCCAATCAGACTTTCATTATAAGAAAATTCGTTAGCATGATGTGAAAATCTGGTAAGACTCGGGAAAATTTGATATATTACAGTAAATTGTCATTTTATATATATTTTATATATAATTTATAGACTCCATTAAACGGCATACGGTCTTTTAACATAAACAAAAAAGGCGCATGAATAATTTTGATATGCACCTTTTTATAATTTTTGATAGGGTTTTTTTAGTTGATTATTAATTGAGTTAATAATACTGCTGCGTAGCAGTGCAGGATTATTGTTACACCGTATCACAATTTTCTGTGTTTTTTTCAAATATTTTTAAAAGTACTAAGTGATTAATAGCAAGAAATAAATAAAAAAAATAGACATTCAAATTAATGCAAAGAATATTGAGTACAGCTGTCATCTTTCATAATTGTTTTATATATGCTATATTTTTGTTCAAAAAAATTGGGTTTAACTAACTGGATAATAATCTTATAAGATTGTTATCCAGTATATTGTTATCTAGTTATGGGTATAATGTTATCTAGTTATGGGTATATTGTTATCTAGTTATGAGTATAATGTTACCTAATTACTGTTTCCAGCATTCTGTGGTCTTTTTACGACCAAGTTGATCTATTTGTTTTCATCTGTGCTCTTCTTGTTGCCTTCGGTATCTTCCGCTTTTTTACTGGACGATTTTTCAGTGTAAAATGCAGGTTTGCTGGAACATTTATTTCCATGGAAAAAAAAATTTCTTTTGATTGTTTCCTGATGGAACTGTTTTTATTAATTCTGCTATCCAAACGTTTTTTGGTATCATTTTTTGAGATGTTAATTACATATTATAATAAATCATATGAGAGTGATACAATATTTACTTTATGGTACAAATCTTATTACAATGAGTTTTATACAAGAGTTTTGCCACACAATATACAACAACCCTTATGATATTATTAACTTTTTTACGCTGGCTTTCGAAGGTTCTTCTGATATTAAATTTTTATCGTCTGGAAGTTTAGTATTTATCAAATAATGAAATACAATAAAAACTATTGAAACTTATTGAAACATAATTTTTTTCTAATTGTTGTCCTGCCTGTACGAAAAAATAGCTATACTCCGCAAAAAAATAAAATAAAATAAAATAATCATAACTCCTCTTGTTTCTCCCCTATATTACAACATCTACATGGTAATCAGCTGAACTAGAGAAATTAATATCCTCCTTCCATTCTTTGGGTGGGGCTTTAAAGTTAGAGTCTGTTTTTGGACATATATCTTTCTGAACAAATTAAATTTGGGTAGTTGGTCATCAGAACACGCTTCAATTACGTAGCTGAGCACAGCCAACCTCAAATAAAAGTTGACGATATCCTTTTTTTATTGCCTTAGACACTTTTGATGACTTTATCTCTCCTAGTTCAATTTTTATATTTGTAATATCGATGCCTGAGGTTCTTCCACGCAAATCAATGTTTAGACGATAATAAAAAGGAACCTAAAACATAATGGATAAGATGTCAGTATACTTTATTCAATTTCAAATTAATTCTTAAAAAAAAATATAAAAAATGCCTGATTGTTTTTAATGGATATCTTTGCGTCTAACACATATGCCATCATGAGTATAATGCCCAACTCGGGTGTGTTTGCTAAATATTGCCGTTTTTCGGCTGATTTAACGGTACCTAATTGGATACATTAAGACTAAAGTTACTTTTTGTTTGATTTTTCAAATATAGTCACTAACAAAGCTTGCCCCCAATCTTTAAGTGCCAAGTCTGCTTTGTCTGCAAGTTCGTGGAGGTTTGATAGAGTGATGTATTTAATTAATTCTTCAAGTTTTTGTCGCATACTTGTTTCTATTAGATTGTAACATTACAATAAATGAAAATAAGTGAAAACTGTAAAAGACCCATAATATTCTATATCCACTTACATAAATATGATTCGAAAGTTCGTTAGCACGAAAAAATAGTAAATATGCCTGGGTATCATAAGATGCATTTTCAAATGGAAGTTGCTTTCGAGGCAACGCAAAACTAACTAATCCGAAAATGACAAAAGCTTCAAATTTTGAAGCATAGTTGGAAACTTGTAACTTTGATATTTCTAAACGTGCAGACAATTCATAAATGTCTCCTAATTTTTCCTTAATGTCTTCAACTATACTTTTCAAATCATCTTCGTCTGTTATTTAACATATGTATGAGTTAATTGACCAAAAAAAGGAAAAAACAGATATAAAAAAGCGACCAATTTATTACGACTCACTTACCAACAACGGGTTGATCTACGATAACACGAATGCATTTTTTGGGGCGGATTTGACGATAAGAAGCAGGAAAGAAAGCTCAAGATTAAGTAAGATTCGGTCACCTTACAAATTTATTAAGTTTAGAATTTTTCTTTATTGATGGTTACGATTGTATAACAAAAAATAAAAATTGAAATGTGAAGATCACTGACTATTGTTGGCGAATATGACGAAAAGATGAGAATCTAAGCCACATTATTCTTATACTTTTATATAATCTCTGTAAGAACATACCAGGCAAGAAAGCCTTAAGGTAACTAAATCTTCATCCGCTTCAAAATTACTAAGGTCAGAGAACACTTCAGTTTGCTGATCTTGATATTTAGTGAAATAGGCAAGTAAACTAGCTTTCTCCTTTTGAGATTCAACGAGGCGAACAATTTCCGTTTTAATGTTATTGGAACTGGAACTGGAGGTGAAACCTGACATATTTAGTTTGGATAAAAGAGGAAGGTGTAAAACAGTAGTAACAGTATGAGAAAGAAAATTTTTTTGCAAATAACTGATGATTATTTTATTAGTAATTTTTAATCACGTGCGCGTTACACATGAGATATAAATTTATTCATGTTTAACGATATTCTTTTTTTAGTTTCATTATTTAATTGTTACACTTATTAACGCATAAACAAAGACAGGTATAAAAACCTAATGAAGTTTGATTTATATATGATTGAAAATATCACCTTTATAGTAGAATAATTGATCTCATAAATTTATAATATGTAATTTTCAAACACTCATCCGTATCTTATATAAAAAATAATAATAAAATATGGTTCATAATAATATAATAATAGATACATCAGCAAACAGAACCTTTAAAAATTTCTTTCCCTTAAAATCAATTTATAAACTCTATTAATAAATGAATAATAATTTCACTTATTTTTTTTTTTGGGAATTTAGATTTTGTGCGTGATGCAACTGATGCATTTTATGCACCCCAGCATATTTTTTTTTTTGTGCATGGGGATTTTTTTTTTATAAAGTTTATTTGTCGGATATTTGTGATCATCACATGATTTATCCAAACTTTTAATAAGCTCCATTTTCTTTCTCACGCTCTCATTATTTTTCTTTTCTCTCATTTATTATTTATGGCTTTAACAATGTCAATGACTAATGAGTGATATTGAATCTATGTCCAGTGATTGCTCTGATAGTGACCTTTTTACTGAAGAGTTTCTTGAGAATATTCCAGACGACAGTGACTTAAGCGATAATGAAGTCTGCTTTGATAATACTGCGGAAACATACAAATTTAACATTAAAAGTTGGCCTAAGAATTAGACCAGCCTAAGAATATGAATAACCTATCAGGAAAATGTTAGAAATCCCGTGATAGACATCCAAAGGGAAGACTACCAGAAAACACCAGATTTAAAAGACCTTTAGAAACTTCAAATGACTCTAATAAAATCACTAATGGGCGACTCAAAACAAACGTAGTTGTTGTAATAATAAAGGACATAATCATGCTACTTGTCCATCAAATCACTGTCAAAAGAAAAGAAAGAATGACGAATATAAGCTCTAATTGGTATGTTATTATGAGTTGGTTAGCGTTGGCTTAGGTTTAGGCGTTGGCTTAGAGTTAGATTAGGATTAGGATTAGGGCTGGGGAGTTGGTTTAGGGTTAGGAGTTTGTTTCATTAACTTAAGGCTAAGGTCAGGGATGGGTTGGTTTAGGAAAAAAAATGCTAATTATAATCTTTCTTTTTTAATTATGTAGGATTTTGCATTAACTTAGGGTTATGCGTTAGCTTCGGGTCTAAGAGTTGACTTAAGTTTTGACATTGGCTTAGAATATTAACAGATTCAGGAAAAAATGAGGTTTTGCCTTTCACTTTTGTATAGGATTGTTAATTGACATTTATGACGAAAATCGTTAACTTATCATTGTTTTAATTATAGATATTGTAGTCGTATTATTTAAAGTTTCATTTTTATCAATAATTGTATTATTATTAGGATGCGTAAAAAAAAAATATGTGCACTCAGATAAATTTTGTAAATTTTAATAAAATTTCATATAATGCGTAAAATTGTAAATTTTCAATTTATGCAGGTGCGTAGAAAACCTCCCCTCCTTTTTTTTTTTTTTATTTAAAATTTAAAAATTCATTTTTTTTTTATCGGTCAGCAAAAAGTGATTCCTTAAAGAAAAGAATGTGCACTTTATTCATGTTGATATTTCGTTGAATATCTTAAAGAACATTTGAAGGTTATAAGATAAATCGGTAAATCTGGAAGTTCGATATTGATAAAATAACTTCGCTTCGGCTTTGTTTCCGTTTCCTAGTAAAATAACAAACATATGAAGTGATAAATTTTGTTTATTCAATTAAAAAAAATTGTTTGGATCATTATAATGAGATTCTTACTATGCGATTCTTGTTCTATACTTTGTTTTTTGTTTCAATAATTTATTCTGAAATTATTCTTTTGCAACCGTATTTATTCACATTATTTTAAAAAGAATAAATAATTAAATATTCACACTTTTACGGTCTAGCTTTTAAAAGCAATAAGAATAACATTAAAACCTTTAATTACTATTATTTAAAAAGGTTACCGCCATTGTAAAAAAGCCCAGATGTGATTGACATATCAACCAATTAAATTCCGTACTTTATATATATATAAACTCTATTAACAAATGGATAACAACTAATTATAATTTCAACTTTATTAAAGATGGGGATATACGACCGCAAACAACTGATTCTCAAACAAAAAATCCAAATGTTAATTACAATAATCTTTGCAATTACAATAATAATAGTTGTTCCATGATGAATACCAATACACCTGATAACGTTACTTCGCAATCTTATCTTATCGCTTCATCAGATCTCTCACTCCCTTTACCGCAGTATACTCAATAAATTCAACAAGTTCAACAACCTATTTATCAACAAAATAATACTGAAAATAACATTCAATAACAATTATTCGACATTACTCAGCCTATTTCTCTGAATGTACCGTATTTCGTTCAAAATAGTTCTTCACCGTTCGATGCTGAAATCTTTAGTTATACCTACTTTCCCTCCAATGATTAATTCCTCTCAAACGAATAATTCTGAAATCTTTACATTTGAGACTTCTGGGTCCAAAAGTTATCATTATCACACTTTCTTTTCAATGATTAATTCCTTTAAAATGAAACTTTCTGAAATCTTTAACATTCTCAGGACCTAATATATTAATTTGATATGTTACCTTGAAACCCATAAATATAGTGTACGCATTATTATTATCACAGTTAATTTTTTTTCATTATTATTCTTTTTATTTCATTCTTTTATTATTTCCTATTTGTAAGATGGTTATCAAATAAAGATCTAAATCACATTTAATATTTGTGATATAGTTTAAGAGTTTGAAATAAGCATATAAAGTTTACTTGTGGCTGAAAATCACGTGCGTTCTTATGGCAATTTTCCAAATATCGGCGGATTTATCCCCTTTTTGCGTTAAAAGTGATTTTTTATGAGTTAAATAAAAATCTATGTTTGCGAAATTTATTTAAATATAGAATAGGCATAAAACCCCCAATTTCGCTAACAATTATAAAATATCATAAGTTGAGACCTCAATATCGTACCGTCTAAATAAGGGCGACAAGGAAACGACAAGAACATTGTAAAGTAGCAAAAGATCTGTTCATCGTTATAGAAGAATGTACAGTACATTATCCTAATAAAATTTCTGAGATATATTTTTTTTCCATGCCAAAATAAAACTTTCCAATTTGTTGTCCACAAGAAATTAGAAATGGTTAGTTTCATATATAATTCCAAGTTATCTGGTTTAGGAAAAAAAAAAAAGCTTTTCATATTTTTGACAAACAAACAAAAAATCGATAAACTTACGAATTTTTACGATATCATGTCCGGGTATCCCGCAACACAGGGGATTTGTGTTGTGCAATCATATTTTATCATATTACAATCTTTTATTAAACATTCCCTATTAGTAAAAATCCAAGTATGTAAATTTTGTAAACAAATGGATTTCATGTACGCCCTAATTTAAAAAAAAAAAAAATATGTCAAAGCAATTTATCGGCTATCGGTATTTAAAGTATTAATAAATTCCGGCAAAAAACTTTTAATAAAACTTTTTTTACTTTTGTAATGACATTTCCTTTTTATTAATAAATTCGATGGCGTAAAATTGAACATGAAATCCGATTCCTATATTTACGCAAGTATATGCTGTCTCTTATACACATCTAGATGTGTATAAGAGACAGAGTATATGTTGTATCAGGTCTACATATCAGATATAGAAATAAATTATGCATGGATGATTTCCTTTTTTCTTTTTTAAAAAAAAGAAACAAAGGAAAAGAAAAAAGAAAAAGAATATTTTTTTTTTGTTAATTTATATTTACATTTTAGCCTGACAATAAAAATTTGATCCCAAAACAATCATCGTCTTTAATTCTTTTTTTTTTAAAAAAACATGGTAATGCGTTATACAGTATAAATGAATAATTTAAAATAAAGTAATAATTATTTAGTATTTACTAATTCATAAATTTTTTCTCGTAAATTCCAAGTTTGTTCCAATTCTATCATGAAGAAATTTTCTTATTGTTCTATTTTTTGGAAATATCTTTTTATTTTGACATTTTAGTAGAAATTATCTGAAAAGTAATGAGAGGATGAGAGTGATGTGAAATTAATCTGATTGGCGTGAGAATTCACGTGCAAGGTTAATTGGATAGAAATTCCCATCAGCTTTCCGTACAAATAAATTAGGGGCTGTTCGCCTGTTCCCCAATATTATCTATACTATTTAGGGGAGAGTACTTTAGAGAAGATCTTTTTCGAAAAATAGAAGCATTCTAAATCTACTTACTGTAATCAGTGCTATAACTGCTATACAAGCGGTAATTAAAGAATATTCACAGGATTTCTTATTCGAGCAACAAGATTTTCTCTTCTTTATCAACATCAATTTTTTTTAACGGAATTAACGGAAAGATGATCAAAGATTTTTTTTTCCGGTTTGCTCCTTATTTTAATATCTTTTTTTTTTTTCTTGTTAAATTTTTTTTTTTTTGATTCTTCAAATATTTACAATTAAACGATTATCAATCCATTACTTTTCCATCCTTATTATCCCGCGTTTCCATGCATTATCTTCTATTGGCAATCAAATATATTTGATAAGATAATGAATGATAAGATTGTTTATTATTCGCTAAAAAAGAATTTCTTTTTCGGTTTATTTGTTACCTTAAAAACAGAAGTCGAATTTATATTTGTTACTGATAGACAATGTTTTCTTATCATATTATAAAAATAAATTTCTGATAGACAATGTTTTTTCTTATCAAACTATTTTTTTTTTTTACTGTTTATATTATATTATTAATATGAATCAATACATGGGTTATTGATAATATTGAT